AATTTTTTTTATATTTAATTATAAAAACGTTTGATGACCCGACCCAAAATTTTCGAGTCAATCTGACAGTATAATGATTATAACTCACTAACAATTACCAAGTTACTCTAGTTCCAAATTATCGTTAAAATGATGTCAAAATGATGTCAAAAAAAAGTGCTATTTTTATTTTAATTTAATAAATAATTTGCTATTTTTATCTTTCATGAACGATTTTTTGATATTTTTGTAAATGGTTTCTTTTTTTATAAATACTTTTATTTTTCAAATAAATATAAATACACTATTTTTTTTTTCTATTTATTTTTTTTTCAAATAAATAAAATAACGAAACAAAAAATTACAATTATTTATGTTTTTGCTGCATTTATATATAGAGCAAAAAGTTTTAAAAAAATTCCTTTGTTTTCTCAATTAACCTCTTTATTTGTCAAGTTTCGGTAATCTAAATACCAAATTTATTGTGGAACAACTTACATATCATTGCATGAACCATATAATTTTCAACAATCGCAAATCGCGGACTGAGAGCTTTATTTTTTTTTTCTTTTTATAATCAATAATTGTTTTGACCCACAATTCTATTTCCCCTCGTTATTGGCTTTAATTTATGGCAAGTACTAAAACAATAACACGGAAGTCCCTTGGGAGAGGCGCATTTATTGGATCCTTATATAATGCAGCAAATGATAAATTCTGCGGGACCACGATATTTAAGTCAAAGTATCCAAATGATTCCATAAATAAGATTAATATTCCACATACTGAAATTTTATATGAATATGAGAATACATATAAGGAAAAGTTTAACAAATTAGACGTCGGAGCTGAATTAAAATTAAGTGTTCTTACAGGATTGATTCCTTTAGAAGGTTCGGGAAAGTATCTAAACGACGTAAAAAATAGTCTTAGATCCGTGAAGGGAACTTTAATATATAAAATAACTACAGTTGATGAAAATTTGGATATTCATCGTGATGATGTTAGAGCTTGTATTTCTACAGATGGGTTTACTAATAACCAAAATGCTACTTACGTGGTGATAGGAATAAAGTGGGGAGCTGCTATAATGGCATCATTTGAATATAATGGCACGAATGAAGAAAATAGATCTCATATTGAAGGAGCGTTAAAATGCCACCTTGAAAAATAAGATCTCCGGAGATGGTCACGTAGATGCTGAAGAACGATATTCTAATATTATTAGCCGTTTCTCTGTAAAACTTCTTGGTGATGTTGTTCTAAATAATAGGAAGCTTCCTCAATCCTTTAATGAAGCTAGGAAAGTAATTGCTGAATTTCCTTTATCCATCGAACAATGCAATGATGGGAAAGGAGTTCCAATTGAATATACTTTATATCCATTGTCGGAACTTGCAACGCTGCTTGCTCAAAACGTCACAATCGATAGTATGATAACGGAATTAAGTGAAGAAACTATCCTAAGTGTAGAACGAGTTTTTGATGATTTGTCCGAATCAAAACAAAAGCTCAACGACTTATATAATGACGCACAATCTACTTCTGATTTCATAATGGACGGTGTTTTTGGTCAAATTAGCGATCGTGTACAAGAAGTTAGAATAAACGAAGCAAAGTTTAGACGCGAACTTGCAGAATGTCTTATTAAAGTACGCTCTGGTAAGATTAATATTATGGAACTTGAGAAAAAATATAAAAAAATTTCACATGAGTGTATTATCTAAAAATTCTATGGCGGAATTCATTAATCAACATCATTCGGTATCTAAATTGGCTGAATTGGTACCCGGATTAAATACCAATAGAGTGGAGCTTCTTGGAAAAAATTCAACCATTGAGTATATTTTGCATAAATATTCAGATAGTGATATTTTTATACTCCTTGATAATGATAAATATATTGTTGATATTAATACCTCTCCAGTGCATAGTGCGTTTCAAGAACTTTACAGAACAGATGAAGGGTCAAGAAAATTCTTCATAGCTAATCTTAAAATATGTACCCAAATAAAATGTTCTAGTTATCCAATGATTCGACATTATATCAATGGAAGACTAGATGGTGACAATTATTATGAGGATAATAAGATATTATTCACATCAAATCTAATTAAATTTGATCCTCTACCAAGTATCAAGCCAAAAAATAATCCCAGCGAGAAGACAAAATTAGTAATATGCTGTCCTCATCAAGATTGTTCAACTATTGATTGCAATTGGAAATGTTACAGATGTAAAAAGGATGTAGATTACGGATATAATAAACACTTATACTGTGAATGTGGTGAAAGCAATATTACTCATTCTAAATTTAAGTGTAATAGTCCCCATCACACAAAAGGATACATATCTTTTGAGTTAAACAGACTTAACGATTTGTTACCATCTAGGAACATAATGACACTTCTTTTCAAACCTTTTGCAGAGATAGAGCGTCTAATTCAGAATATTATCATATTAATAAGAGAAAAACAAGAAATAAATAATTCCAGCGGAACCATAGAAGAACTTAAAGGTAAGCTATATATTCCACAGTTATATATCGAATCAAGGAAATTAGATTATCCTAGAACTAATATTAGTTGTATTGAATTATTGCAAGTCACCGACAGCATCGATGTGGTGGACAAACTGTTACGTAAGATTTTCGAAGTATGATGAAATAAATAACAAAATATTATTGTTTTGTTCAGCAATTAAATTAATAGGTGGAAAATGCAAAGTTTGCGGCTGTCGTTGGAATAGACATATGCAAGTTATATGAATTACGTATAGTAAATGCAATGATATTTTAGAGAGAATGCAGAAAAAGAACAGTTATAGAGGTGCACCAAAAAAGAGTTGATCAAATACAAAAAGAACGGGAGGAAATAAAAGAAATTAGCCTTAAGTTTACACAATTCTCAAGACAAAATGCAATAGCTACTTACAATAATGATGGATGTATACTCATCATGAGTTGTATCTTTATAAAATCTATGCATCTATAAACCTATATACTGTATATCCAATATAAATTTGTTATATTAAATTTTTATAAATCCATAATGCATATAAATAATTTGTTTATTTTTTATATAATTATAAAATTATTATAAATAATTTAAATTATTTAAATATAAATATATGTGTTGAATAAAATTATTCAAATATAGAATTATTATTTAATATAAATTTATATATAATATATGATTAAATAAAGAAATAATTTATTTATCGCACCGCTTAATAAATTCAAAATGTCGTAAATTCGCCCAATTCCTAAAAGTGCCAAAGATTATGTAGTTAAATTGAATCTATACTCACTTAATTTTTCAACTGAAATTTTGATAAAATCATTAAATAAATCATAAATAATCAGTGATCGGCGGTACGGTAACTCTGGCGTCTCTGGTCAAGTTTATAATTCTGGCCAGTTTAGTTATATCAAACCTGTTAAAAAATTCGGGTCCAAATGATGAACCGGTTTAAACCGGTTTTTACAACCGGCCCTGTAAAAAAAGTCGATCCGTTTTTTATAATCCATCTTTTTTTTCCGTAAAAGGCTCATATTATCGGAATTAATAACCTTATATCATGGAATTTATCGAATTATTTACATTTTTACGGAGTTTTTTCAGAAATAACGGATAAAATTTTTTTATAGGGCAGTTCCGAGATTAGTAATCGTTTATTTATGTTACTAATCAATCTGACTCCAAATAAAGATTAAGTAAAAAAAAAATTTCTTAATATTTATATAAATTTCGAATCGATTCATACAATTTTATTTCCCCCGCAAAAAAAAAAAAAAAAAAAAAATTTTTTCATAGAATCAATCGTCTCTCATTTTGATTTTAATACCCCAAAAATATAAATATATATCAGGTGAACTTTATTCAAAAAGAAAAAGTATATTTACAATAAATTAATAAATTTGTCTTAGAATTTTCTTTGAATGGGATGATCGGCTAGTATGCATTAATTAAGTGATCACTAAATTCGGAGTTTATTAAATATCGACATTACAAATCAAAATTATTTCCGATTTTTTTTTTCATTTTCGTATAAATAGGACCATTATTTGCAATAGATCTTTTACGTTAAACTTTTTACGTTAATCTATTTATATGATTAAGCCTTTTATATTATAATTTTATTACTATTTAAAAATGGTCGATTTTTTAAAATCTTCTCCATTGTTAATTTCTACAACAATAAAACATTATTTTAATGGACCACCTAGGCCTTCATGGGATTTAAAATTTCACATAAATTGGTCAAAACTTATATCGTTATTAGAAAGTGCCAATACTAAAACAATTGAGCAAATGCAACAAGATGGTTCTAATCCTGCTCCTGTACAAGCTGATGTGATGATAAATGAATTCAAGATAGATAATAAATATAGACGTGAAGCTCAAGTTCATCTTGATAAAATTTTGAAACCATATGAACATGTTTTAGATCCTGAATGGAAAAATTTGAAAGATGATGGAATTAATTCTGAATGGGTTCAAGTCAATGATGGATGGGAAAAAAAAAGAAATTAGGAAAACTATTTTATATTTACACGGTGGAGTTTATTTTATGCATAGTAAAGAAACTCATAGTAATATTACAAGCTCTCTTGCTAAAATAACGAATGCAAGAGTTTTAGGTAAGAAAAAATGTAATTTCAAACAATCTTTAATATATTAGTTACCTAATTAAAATTTTCTTATATAGCAATTAATTATCGACTTGCACCTCAAAATCAATTTCCCGCCGCATTACAAGATGTATTGGCTGCTTATTTGTACCTCTTAAATCCTTCAAAAGATGCTGGGTTTGAACCTTTAAATCCAAAAAATATTGTAGTTTGCGGTGATAGTGCTGGAGGTGGTTTAAGTTTGGCTCTCAGTCTTGTTATACGTGATGCTCGTGATTCTGGTTTGCCACAATTAGCTGGTGTCATCGGTCTGGTAAATATAGAATTTATTTTTTTATTTCGTTGAATTACTAATCATTTATATAATTATATTGCATCGCATTACAGAGCCCATGGGTTGATCTTACAATTAGCATGCCTTCAATATTAAATGACGAATGTGCTGATTATATTCCAAATCTGAAATGGGGTACTGCTACTATTTTCATAGAATCTCAAGCTAGCGAAGAATGTAAGGAAAAAGATGCTGTTCTTGCAGCAAAGATTAAGAATCAAAATCTTGGTCCCAAAATTTGGCATGATTCTTTTGATAGACCTAATGGAAGATTACACTTTTATGTAAATAATGAAAGTCTAGCAATTCCGTATGTTAGTCCAATGTTAGCTGAAAGCCTAGGCGATTTACCTCCTTTATTATTGGTAAGAAACAGTATCACATCCATAATTCTCTTTTATACTGTATGTTTTGAACTAAAAAAAAATTGATTATTTGAATTAATATAGATTGCAGGAGATGATGAAAGAATTCGAGATGAAGCGATTTATTTTGCTCATAGATCTGCTGAACCAACTAAATATAAAGGCCCATCTTATAACGCTGGTAAATTTGAAAAATCACCATTCCAAACACCGACAAATACTACACTCGAAATATATGAAGAAATGCCTCACGTATTTCAGGTAAATATATTAGCTTAAATTATAGAAAAAAAAAATTTTTTAATTAAAATTTTACTCTTCCATTAATATATTCTAGATGATGGAACATGCTTGCACTACAAAGTCGTATGAACGTATGACTGAATTCATAAATAGAGTAACAAATACTCTTAACGAACCACTTCCTCCTTTCTCTTATAATTACGTAAATGTTAAGGGAGAATTCAGTCCTTTAAAAGAATATCATAAAAAAGTTCTTAATTGGAAAAATATTGGTATTGTACCAAGCTAAGTAATCACACGAAATAATTGAAATGAACTCAACGTAAATGGTAAGTAAATTAATAGTAGATAACTTGCTTAGGAAAGTTGAATTAAAGCTATTAACTTAGAATGGGAAACTATTTACTTGAATATTTATTATAAGTAACTGAAATTTTGTAAATTAAATAATATAACAGAAAAATCCATTTTTTAGATCATTAAAACTTGTCATTCTTTTGTATTATTTTTTCGCTTTGTAAAATTAAAGTTATAATAATCTATAAATGAACGCTATTATCATGTCATTTAGACATAAATAAGTTTGGGAATATCTGATTGTGTATAAATCATTTATCCGTCCTAAAACTTGAAACATAAATGAAACGAGGCTTATAAATGCGACGATAGGTAAATTCTAATTTGGAAACGCCGCATATTTATTCTGAGCAACCCATTCACGTCATTCAACTGTTCACAGAGTTCAGGGCAACATTCGATGTAATTATGTAATTACAATGTAGAGCGAAGCTACTCTTTTTTTAATAGTATTTAATTTATATATGGACCAATAGCTAGTTAACACCTTTTTAGGAGATGTCATAAGTTAGATTTGAAAATCTCCATTTCAAACTTTGACAAATACTACACTCGGAATATATGAAGAAATTCCTCACGTGTTCCAAATAAGAAGTACATCAGTTTAAATTTAAAAAAAGTAATTTTATTAATATATTAAATGCTTACGCTTAACGAACCACTTAATGCTTCCTCTTATAATTACATAAATGTTAAGGGAGAGAAACGTCATAAAAAAATTCTCAATTGGGAAAAAATTGGTATTGTATCAAGTAGTGCCGCAATACGTGGTAAGTAAATAATGAATAAATTTAATAATTTACTTATTGTATTTTTTCTTTATTTATTTACTTATAAATTTAGAGCAAAAATAATTATAATAATCTATGCTATAATACTAGATAAACGTATTTAAAAATATTTAACATAAAGAAATTGGTGTGTAACAGTAACGTTTAGACTAACCTGTATAAATAATTTTGAATTGCACGGTGTATTACATTTACTTGGAGACTTTTTTGTATTAAACTATTCTTTATTATAATTTATACTTTCATCATAATAAATTTATAATAAATTTCTTATCTGTTACTATTTTTAATCCTTAATATTGTCCATCAAAGCAAGCCTGCCTTATTGAGAATTATTATATATATATATCATATTAATACTGGTTTTCGGAAATATATTATTTTTAATGTAATACGAAAAAAATTTAATATTATACGACTTGTGTACTAGTTATTCTTTTGCGCCTGATCTAATCCATAATTATTATGGTTTGAATAATTTGATTGGCTGTTGGGTCGTGTGGCGTTCTGATAGCCAATCTGAGAGATTTTCATCGCTAATAGTTTCGGTTAAATCTTGCTTCATAGATTTTAGTTTATAGCTCATATAATTTTATAGGGTTAAATTACTTTCTTCTGCAAGACGGGCTTCAACTTTCCGAGCATTAGCTAGCGTATGGGAGGTAGTAGGTTAGTTATGGAAATGGTTTTAAAGTCAGTTGGTTATGTTTTAAATAGTTTCAATCTAACCTCCACCGTCGATGTAGATTTTTCTCTTCTTTTAGTTTAGTTCATTTTTTTTATTTACTTTTTACAATTTTTGATTTGTATATAAATTCTTGTATGTGCTAACTGTTATTGTTTAATAAAAATAAAAAATAAAAAATTTTAATCGGATCGAAACAAAAAATTATAATTATTTTAGTTTTTGCTACAGTTTCAAAAAAAAATTCCTTGTTTTTCNTCAGCCTTTTTTTAGACTGGTTCTTTTTTTTCAGTCTCTCTTTTTAGAACGGGATCATTTTTTATTTGATAATGGTAATAATATTATTTTTTTTTTAGTTTTTTGAAACCGAGATTTAATAAATTTCATCCTTCATCCCGGTTTTTTTCTCTTTATAATCTATACTAATACGTTTTTATATAATTTTTTATTAATTTTTATGCATATTGTATGGTATCGTATTGGGTATCGGTTATTCATTTACGAAGTCATGTGATCATCTACCGTTACTGACGTGCCGTCGTGACGGTTAAAAAAATGCCGTAACTATAAGAAATTCAAAAGTCTGTAATCGGAATGTTTCAATGATTTTCGCTTTCAAATTATTTCCCAAATGGAATTTGAGGCGCTGCCTAATGAAATTCCACTAGTCAAATTAATTATGTGTAACAAAAAGATTGATACATTATTAAGAAATTAATAAACATAGACATTTTAATTTTAGAAATCTTTCATGACGATCTTGATATTTTTGTAAGTAAATACACTTTTGGTTTTTTTCTTTTTTTTTTAAAAAAATAAAAATAAAAATAAAATAAAAATAACGAAACAAAAAATTATAATTATTTTAGTTTTTGCTACAGTTTCAAAAAAAAATTCCTTGTTTTTCTCAATTAATCCCTTTATTTCTTTATTTGTCAAAGTTTCGGTAATCTCGGAATAATAAATACCAAATTTATTGTGAAACAACTTACATATCATTGCATGAACCATCCTTATTATACATTTATACATATAATTTTCGACGATCGCAAATCGCGAAAAACCTTATTTTTTCTTTTTATAATCCAATAATTTTTTTGACCAAATATTCCATTGCAATTCTATTTTCCCTTATTATTATTAGCTTTAATTTATGGCAAGTACTAAAATAATAACACGAAAGTCCCTTGGGAGAGGCGCATTTATTGGATCCTTATATAATGCAGCAAATGATACATTCTGCGGGACCACGATATTTAAGTCAAAGTATCCAGACGATTCATTAAGAAAAGCTGATATTCCACATACTGAAATTTTATATGAATATGAGAATACATATAAGGAAAAGTTTAATAAGTTAGGCGTTGGTGCTGAATTAAAATTGAGTGTTCTCACAGGATTAATTCCTTTAGAAGGTTCGGGAAAGTATCTAAACGACGTAAAAGATAGTCTTAAATCCGTGAAGGGAACTTTAATATATAAAATGACTTCAGTTGAGGAAAATTTGGATATTCATCGTGATGATGTTAGAGCTTGTATTTCTACAGATGGGTTTACTAATAACCAAAATGCTACTCACGTGGTGATAGGAATAAAATGGGGAGCTGCTATAATGGCATCATTTGAATGTAAAAACACGAATGAAGAAAATAGATCTCATGTTGAAGGAGCATTAAAATGTCACTTTGAAAAGATAAAGATCTCCGGAGATGGTCACGTAGATGTTGAAGAACGATATTCTAATATTATTAGCCATTTCTCTATAAAACTTCTTGGTGATGTTGTTCCAAATAATAAAGAGCTTCCTCAATCCTTTAATGAAGCTAGGAAAGTAATTGCTAAACTTCCTTTATACACCAAACAGTACAATGATGGGAAAGGAGTTCCAATTGAATATACTTTATATCCATTGTCGGAACTTGCAAAATTATTTACTCAAGATGTCGCGATAGATAATATGATAACAGAATTAAGCGAAGAAACTATCCTAAGAGTAGAACAAGTTTTTGATGGTTTGTCCGAATCAAAACAAAGACTCAACGACTTATATAATGACGCACAATCTACTTCTGATTTCATAATGGACGAGGTTTTTGATCAAATCAACAATCGTGTACAAGAAGTTAGCATAAACGAAGCAAAGTTTAGACGCGAACTTGCAGAATGTCTTATTAAAGTACGCTCTGGTAAGATTAATATTATGGAACTTGAGAAAAAATTAAAAAAATTTCATAAGAGTGTATTATCTAAAAATTCTATGACGGAATTCTTACGCCAACATCGTTCGGTATCTACATTGGCTGAATTAGTACCCATATTAAAGACCAAAAGAGTAGAGTTTCTTGGAAAAAATTCAACCATCGAGCATATTTTACATAAATATTCAAATAGTGAAATTTTTATACTCCTTGATAATGATGAATATATTGTTGATTTTAATTCCTCTCCAGTGAATAATATGTTTCGAGATCTTTACAGTTCAGATGAAGGGTCAAGCAAATTCTTCATAGCTAATCTTAAAATATGTACTCAAATAAAATGTTCTAGTTATCCGATAATTCGACATTATATCAATGGAAGGCCAGATGGTGACGATTATTATGAGGATAATAAGATATTATTCACATCAAATCTTATCAAATTTGATCCTCTACCAAGTATCAAGCCAAAAAACAATCCCAGCGAGAAGACAAAATTAGTAATACCCTGTCCTCAAGATTGTCCAACTATTGATTGCAATTGGAAATGTTTCAGATGTAAAAAGGATGTAGATTACGGGTATAATGAGCACTTATACTGTGAATGTGGTGAAAGCAATATTACTCACTCTAAATTTAAGTGTAATAGTCCCCATCACACTAAAGGATACATATCTTTTGAGTTAAACAGACTTAACGATCTGTTACCATCAGTACCACCACAGGAAGAGATAAACATATTATTACTTGGTGAAACTGGCGTAGGAAAGTCAACATTTATAAATGCTTTTGCAAATTATCTTAAATTTAACACATTAGATAATGCAAAATCTGGAGATTTAGAAGTATTAATCCCATTCGAATTTACGTATACAGATGATAATTACGAGACAGTGACGATAAAATTAGGTAATTATGATTCAAATGAAACATTAGAAGAAGGCGAATCATCTACTCGAGAATGTAAAAGTTATGTATTTCATTCAGCTGAAAATAGACTAATAAGATTGATAGATTCCCCTGGAATAGGAGATACCAGAGGATCAGAATATGATAGGAAAAATTGTGAAAACATTCTGTGGTATATTAGTCATTTCCGGTATTTAAATGGGATATGTATCCTTCTCAAACCTAATAATTCACGACTTACCATAGTATTCAAATATTGTATACAAGAATTGTTATCACACCTTCACAAGAGTGCCAAGGATAATATCGTCTTCTGCTTTACTAATACCAGAGAAACACATTATCGCCCAGGAGATACATTACAGCCACTTAGAAAACAACTTGATAAACTTAAGAAACAGACTAAGTCTGGTGTTGAAATAAGGGTTCAAAAAGATATAATGTACTGTTTTGATAATGAATCATTTAGATATTTAGCAGCAATTAAGGAAGTAAAGTTTACACAGAATGAGGAACAAAATTTTGCAGAAAGTTGGAAAAGATCCGTGGATGAATCACTACGGCTCATTGAATATCTTGTAAAACGTCAACCTCATATAGTAGAAGATACTTTATCACTCAATAACTCTAGGAACACAGTGTTACTTCTTTCCAAACCTTTTGCAGAGATAGAACGTCTAATTCAGAAAAACATCATATTAATAAAAGAAAAACAAGAAGAAATAAATAATTCCAGCAAAACCATAGAGGAACTTAAAGGAAAGCTATATGCTTCACAATTAGATTTCGAAACAAGGAAATTAGATTATCCTAGAACCGTATGCACTAATATTAGTTGTATTGAATTATTGCAAGTTAACGACGATATCGATCTGATAGACTATGTAAAACACTGTTGTAAAAACTGTTACGTGAGGTTTACTAAGTATGATGAAATCAATAACAAAATGTTGTTCTTTTGTTCAGCAATTAAATTAATAGGTGGAAAATGTAAAGTCTGCGGTTGTCATTGGGATAAACATATGCATGTTACCTATGAAATTATGTATAAATACAATGATATTATAGATGAGAATGTGGAATTACAAATTTCGGAAAAAAAATCGGACCAAGAAAATAAAAGAGCAGTTATAGTGGTGCATCAAAATAGAATTGATCAACTACAAAAAGAACGGGAGGAAATAAAAGAAATTAGCCTTAAGTTTGCACAGTTCTCAAGACAAAATGCAATAGCTGCTTACAATGACGCATATGTTGACTATCTTGACCTTTGCATAAAGGAAGAGAAGATTAAGAGAAATGCCAACTCAAGACATTATGATGAAAGAATCCTCAAAGGGCTTGAAGCCACAAAAGAAGATTACTTGAAGCAGGTAGAAGTTATAAAGCAAGAAATTGAAAACAATGATAGTTCTATTACGCCAAATGAAATAGCCGAGCTAGAAAAGCAATTATACGATTTACCAATTAACGGTCCAAAGCTGAAAAAATTAAAATATGAAGCAGAACGTAGCGAAGCTGATGCATTAAGATACACTGAAAATCATTATAAGCCGCCGGTATCAAGTAAAACAAACTTTATGTCAAACCAATTCGCGAAATTTTTTGGTAAAGGATGGTAATATCAAAGTTATTTGAGAAGGTAAATTAGAAATTTTCTTAGACGAAGGCAATAGTTTTTTCGTCAAAATTGAATAATTATTTTATCAGGCGCGCCTAATATTTATTTATTTTTAAGATTGATCTTTATAATTTATAGTTGTACAATTATTTAGTATCTACAATATCTAATATATTCTTATTTATTATTCATAAATGTATACTTATATTATCAAAATAAATATATTATATTTTGTTTATTATTACAATTAAATGTGTTACCAGGTTTGCTTGTAGAAAATTAAAGAGAAAATAAGTAAATTTTATGTACCGCTTAATAAATTCAAAATGTCGTAAATTTTGTTTTTCGCAGTAATCAATTATGTACCTTCCTCGATGATTAAATATCTGATGACCTGAATCTTGGTGTATAGTGAGATACAAATATGTTTCAAATTAAAAAATTCAAAAAATCACGTGATTGAACTAATATTGACTTTTGATTGGATAGAAATAAATCATGTGATTAACAATTCTCTGTAATTCTGGCTGAAATTATTAAATTAAGATTTTTATTTTAAGACTTTTTTGATATTGACTAGAATCAAGCTTATATTCCAGCCAAAATTATAATTACTGACCAGAATCATATGTTTCAAATCTGAAAATTATATATAAAATACCTTAATTTTACAGGTTAATAACTTTTGATTTAGATAACCAACCAGGATAATCTCAACGCCATTTTGTAGTATCTATTAGATTATACGCACTCAAATTTTTATCAAATTTTTAATTTGTTTGATGAATTGTTGTCCCAAACCGTACTATTTCAAAGCTGTGATAATTTTACTATTAGATAAAAAATTGATTATTGTCGATATACTGCATCTCTTGATTTTGATAGGCCCCTAAAAAACAAAAAATAGACTACTATAATAATCATTATCATACGACATTACGACAAGTTCAATAAAATATCATATATATAAGTGAACAATTATATTATTTATGAAATTAACTTTACAAGGGTATGGTTGTTAAAGTGATTATAATTTAATCGCATCTTAATTTTTGCAGAATTATTTCGTCATAAATAAATAAATTTTTTTGTCATCATTATTGTCACTTTCAGAAGAGGAAGAGTATTTTAACTATTTATTATAGTGCAATCAATTATTTTTGAGAATATGGTTTGGGAAATAATGTAACATATCTGATATGAATTAAGGTGGTTGGTTGTTTCTTTGAATAATCATTTTTATTACTCTTAAGCTAAGAATTTTTTTTTTATTTGTATGTTGAATTTGAGTTTCGTACTTTTTCGTCACTATTTTCTAAGAGAGCGTATAGTGATTTTCCTTAGATAGAAATTCATAATTATTGAGTATTTGAGCACCTTTTACTATAATAACTTTTAAATGATTTTCTTTTAAATTTTTCCGATCTAGGCTGATGTTATTAGCCTTATTGATTTAACGTATATATATATATATATATTGATATTTCAATATTAAAAGAATTACAGTATATAAATTTGCGTTAAAAAAATTTTATAATAAATTAACGAAACAAAATTCATAAAATGACTTCCGCTGTTATTTAACATACATCGAGGATGGCTTGGTCATCATGGTTAATAATAAACAAGCAAATTTTTTGAACTTTACCATGATAGTAGATTTGTTTGTTTAGAATTGAGCCACTATCGGAATATCTGCAGCACATCGGTTCTTATATTAAAGTTCCATTTCAACCAAACCTAAAATAGAATAAAAAATCCACCTATTGGAATAGCCATTCTTAAAGTTCCATATTTCAAACGAACCTAAAGTAGAAAATAATAAAAAATGAAAGCTAGCTTGTTGAAAGACCTAAAAAATTTAACCTGAAAAGGTTAGATTTATTTATAGATCTTTCTAAGATAAGAAAAAAATTTCATAAGTTGTGCACCACTAAAAAAATCAATCCGTTGCGCAATATTTAATCTCTTCGCACTGATTACACAAAAAGATCCAACAATTTGGTAAACACATAAGAATTTTGTTGTTTTAAGGTGACACAAATCTTTTGACGGACCAGTCGAACCATCCCTTTAAATTTCGACTAAATTTCACATGAGTGGTACAAATAATCCAAATTATAATACTGTATCGACATATTTAATCAAAATAATTTTTCTTTCTTCCACAATATTTTTCATTCTCGTATAAATAGAACCATTATTTTGATAATTTTTTTATAATAATTTTTTACATTAATCTTCTTTATTATTTGAAAAATGTCCGATTTTTAAAAATATACTCTGGTGTTAATTTCTACGACGATAAAACATTATCTTAATGGACCACCTAGACCTTCATGGAATTTAAAATGTCACATATTTTGGGCAAAGTTTGTATCATTACTAGTAAGTTACAAAACAATTGAGGAAATGCAAAGAGCTAGCTTTAGCTTCGTCCTGCTCCTGTACAAGCTGGCGTGGTGATAAATGAATTTAAGATAGATAATAAATATAGAAACGAAGCTCAAGTCCATCTTGATAAAATATTGAAACCATTTGAACATGTCTTAGATCCTGAATGGAAAAATTTGAAAGATGATGGAATTATTACTGAGTGGATTCAAGTCCCTAATAACGAATGAGAAAAAAAGAAATTAGGAAAACTATCCTCCTGTATTTACATGGTGGAGGTTATTACTTTTTCTGTAAAGAAATTATCGTTGTATTACAAGCTCTCTTGCTAAAATAGCAAATGCAAGAGTTTTAGGTAAGCTAAACCTTCGGAAGAATGAAATTTTTAATCAATCTTCAATATATTACCTAACTAAAATTTCCTTTATATATATTCAAAATCAATTTCCCGCCGCATTACAGGATGCATTAGCTGCTTATATATATCTCTTAATATGCAGCTTTAAATCCAAAAAATATTGTAATATGTGATAATAGTGCTGGAGGTAGTTTAAGTTCATTTCTTGGTCTTTGTTATACGTGATGCTGGTTTACCATCATTAGCTGGTATCATCGGTTTGGTAAATAAAGAATTTATTTTCTTTATTTTGTTTAATTACTGATCATTTATATAATTGTGTTGCATTACTTACAGATGACGAGTGTTCTGATTATATTCGAAATATGAAAAGAGGTACTGCTAATTACGCAGGATCTCAAGCTAGTAAAGAATATAAAGAAAAGGAGGCTGCTCTCATTAAGAACAGTCCCAAAATCTGGCATGATTCTTTTGAAAGACCTGATGGAAGATTACAATTATAAATGAAGGTCTAGTAATCCCATATGTTAGTCCGATGTTAGCTGAAAGCTTAGGTGATTTACCTCCTTTGTTATTGGTAAGGAAAAGTATTCCAAAAGGATTTATTTACATAATGTAGATTGCAGGAGAAGATGATAAATTTCGAGATGAAGCAATTTATTTTGCTCATAGCGCTTCCGAACCAACTAAATATAAAGGTCCATCGTATAATGCTGGCAAATTTGAAAAATCTCCATTCCAAACTCCGACAAATACTACACTCGAAAATATATGAAGAAATACCTCACATATTCCAAGTAAATATAGTTTAAATTTAAAGAAAAATAGTTTTTTTAATTAAAAATTAATTCTTTCATTAATATATTCCAGTTCATTGACATGCTTGCGCCATAAAGTTCTATGAACGAATGGCTTTCGTAAATAGGTAACAAATGCTCTTAATGAACCATTTCCTCCTTCCTCTTATAATTACATAAATGTTAAGGGAGAATTTAGTTCTTTAAAGGAACGCCGTAAAAAATTTCTTAATTGGGATATAATTGGTATTGTATCAAGTAACCACACGAAACAAATTGTTAGTTGTAAGTAAATTAATAAATTTTAGATTTAAGAATAGTGGAATCATATTAAGTTACTTGAAAAATTCACTTGAAAACTACTCTCTTGGCACACGAAATCCTTTTTATACTCTATAGATGTTCTCACTTATTTCCTTTATTGATTCATTTACTTAATTCAAATTATTTTTTTCTTAATTTATAGATATAGAATAAAATAATTATAATCATTTATAAAAAATGCATTGAAAAGATTTCATGTTATGAGAGGAAACGATCATGTGATTTGACATATTGCCAAGATTAGAATATGTAACAAATTGAATTGTAACAATTTTCTGAATTTAAAGATGCATTGTTACAAAATCAATAATTAAAAATCGTTTATCTGTCCTAGTAAAAACTTGGAGCGTAGCTGATAATCTATTATTGATCATTTCTTCTGCTTCTTTATAAATCACAAATAAAGCTAAATTATAAATACGATGATAAGTTCATGTTGGAATTGCCGCATTTCCAATTGTTGTCTCTTGGTTCATCATCAGTAAACCATGCTATTTCTTTCATGTCGTTCAATTGTTCACTAAGTTCAGAGCAACAGTGCGATTTCGCATAATTTTACTTACAACAGAGCTGTAATTTTAACTTTATATTTCATTATTTAATCTATGGACGCGAGAACCAAATCAGTCAGTTAACTCCTTCTTGAGAAACGCGATAAGCTAAAGATCGATAATAAATGTTTACTTTGTTGAATAAAGTAAAAACAAAAATTTTGATTATGTAATTTATATTGTAATTTAATGGTAACCTTAATAATTCTATCATCTTTCAGCCTGACATAAATTTGAAACTTTTCACGCACTTTCCAAAGGATCTATACTATGCTTTAGAAATGGGAGAATCTTTTGCCATTCAATTCATCTGGAAAGGTTCCTGATTCAAATTCGACCGAACACGATGACTATACCGGGATAAGAAATAGCAGTGGCAGAAGTGAACTTTAATTGTGCAATTATGCTAACAAATTGAAAATAATAGCAAAATATCAAATAAGTTTAAATTAATTGATATTTAACTGATTTTCGTTAAATTGATCCTTTAGCTTATACATATTTCAGTTATTTCACGTTGCTTTTATAAAAATTTTTTTCACGTGAACTATATATAATATGTTAGGCCAATCCAACGCTCTGACCAATCGATCTGAACAACTGATTATTTGACTAATGACTCAAATTAATTAAATATATTAACAGTTAAAAAATAAATAATAGCTTAATTTATAAAATTTATTTGGTTTGATATTAACTAACATTATTTCTGTAACGTAGTAATTATATTTAACATCAGAAAGTAGGGCCAAATAAGGAATTTTATTTTATTTTTTATGCTTTTTATTTTGCATTAATGTAATAGTTGCCAAAACTGAACTTATTCCCTGTAAAAAAATCTGATCCGTGTTTTATCTTTCCATGTTTTTTCCGTGAATGTATCATTTTCATGGAATTTATAGCCTTAAATCATGGAAATTTTCATCTCGCTAACACGGATATCCGTGAATGAATCATTTTCACGGAATTTTTACGGAAAACACGGAGAAATAATGTATACAGTGAGTGAGGAACAAAGTTTTGCAGAAAGTTGGAAAAAATCTGTAGATGAATCGATAAGACTTATTAAGTACCTTGTAAAACCTCAACCTCACGTGATAGAAGATACTATATCGCTTAATAACTCTAGAAATACAGTGATACTACTTTCCAAACCTCTTGCAAAAATGGAACATCTTATTCAACAAAATATCATATTAATAAAAGAAAAACAAGAAGAAATTAAAAACTCCGATGAAACCATAGAAGAACTAGATAAAAAGTTGTACGTTTCACAGATAGATCTTAAACCGGTAAAATTGAGATATCCTAGGACTGTATGCACCGATACTAAATGTATTCAAATTATTCGAACCAAAAATATTAAAAAAATAAATTATGTAAGAGTCTGTTGTTCACATTGTTACTTGAAATTTTCTAGACATAATGTAATAAACAACAAAATTTTAATGCTTTGTTCAGCAATTAAAAAATCGAATGGAAAATGTAAATTCTGTGGTTGTTCTTGGAATAAACATCATATGCATATTACCTATGAGAATTAATACATAGTCAACGATGTTATGGACAGGAAAGTAGAATTACTGATTTCGGCGAAACGGTCGGATCAAGAAAAAAAGGAAGCAATTATAGAAGTGCATCAAAGGATGGATAACCAACTACGAGAAGAGCAAGAGAAAATAAAAGAAATTAGTATTAAGTTTGCACAATTCCTAAGACAAAATGCAATAGCCGCTTACAATGATGCATATGCAGACTATCTTGATCTTCACATAAAGGAAGAGAAAACTAAGAGAGATGCCAACCCAAGTCATTATGATGACAGAGTCCTCAAAGGACTTGAAACCACAAAAGATAATTACTTGAACCAAGTGGAAACTATAAAACAAGCAATTGAAATCAATGATGGTTCCAAACCTCCAATTACACCAGAAGAAATAGCCGAACTTGAGCAACAATTGTACAATTTACCAATTAATGGTCAAACTCTGAAAAGTTTGAAATTTAAAGCACAACGTAGCCAAACTGATGTATTCAGACAAGCTGAAAATCATTATAAGCCGCCGTCAACATCAGATGGAATAAACTTTAAATCAAACCCACTCGCGAGATTTTTTGGTAAGGGATTGTTATAAGAGAAATTTTTCTATATTATACATTTTAAACAATTGATAATAGTTTCTTAAAAATCGGATAATTAATTTAATATAATTTATACGCTCAATTTTTAATAAATATTTCATAGTTTGAATATATTTACTCAATACCTACAGTATATTATTAATAAATACCGGTACTAAAAATGCAATTAAAATAAAAATATTAAAAGTGTGAATACAAATTTGTTGCCATTTTTGCGAGCGAATAGTAAATGAAGATTGTTAGTTGCGTATTAAAAAATAATTTACTCCCGATATTATTAAATAATTTAAGAATATAGTTAGTTTAATTATCGAAATTGTAAAAAGCAACGGGTTGAGAATTTTCTTATCAGAACAAGATGAGCTCTCGATATGACAGCGAGCACATCGGCTTTGTGGCGAAGAATTTAATGAATTCAATTGGCTTTATCCGTTACGAGGAATATTTGACGTACATAATTAATTGTTCGACCGTAATCAGGAATACGATTTAACTGTTTCTAAAAGCTTTTGGCAAAAGAAATCGTATAAGCAACATCTATATAATTAAAAAAAGTGGAGACATTTAGACTACTCCCTGTATAAAAATTTGATCAAGGTTTAGTTAAAAAATCCTTTTGTGTTGCGAACATATGATGCGTCTGCGCCTGATTTTTACCAAAGAAATTTTAAGATCACAAATCGATCTTTCCAGAATGGATCTACCCATTTTAGGGTAGTGAGATCAATTTTGCTTATTGATTTTGTTAGAATCTTTGTAGGTTCCTCTGCGATTCCTAAAGTTCTGACTGCGGAGCGGATATTAGTGACCGGCTGTAAATTTTTTTTGATTGCGAAATTTTTTTTTAGCAATTTCTTTTTTGTACAGGTCCTCCTTGAGGTATAATACGTATATAATGACTATATATAACGTACATAAGATGGGTATTGCATAAATAAAATTTCCTGATTTTTTTTAATAATGCCATAGATCATTATAGATATAACAATTAACAAAATCTTTCAGAAATTTTCTAAATTTTTTTTTCTAATAATAACAATAGATCAGTATAATAATAGATAAAATCACTATGAATCGAAGCACTACTACAGGGGACAAAGTCCCCTGCTAATAAATTCATTATTCTTGTTTTAAATAAATGTAATCATTATTGATAATTCATTATACATACTATATATTATATATCCCATTCCGTTTTTTTCATCTTTAATAATATTTTTTTTCTTTACATATAAAGTTAAGAATATTAAAAGTAGGTTATTTTTTACATAAAGACATAAAGATATAATAGTTCAAAATCTTATATAACTTTTCGTTTGAGAACATTATTAGACAGAAGAATATCTCAATATAAAACCAATAATTTTAATTTTTTTTTTTTTACTATTTATAATATATATCTATATAACTAAAAAAATACATGATAAAATCGTAACGTTTAGACTAGCATGTATAAATAGTTTTGAATTGTGTAATAGTATATTTTCTGCTTGCGCCTAATCTATTCCATGTTAGCGTAAGTTTTTTTTTGCTCCTTATTTTCTAGATTATTTAGGTTAATATCGGTAAGTTCAAGGCATGAATTCCGAATTGCAGATCATCAATATTGTGATAGAGATTATTAGATCATCGATCCTAAGAAGGTTATATTTTTTTATAGACTAAATCCCTATCCCAAATCTAATTATAGATTGTCACATGTAATCTACTAGTTTTACGTCATCTCGGACGCTACATTTGTTACGTCATACAATTTTAAACTATTAAAAATTTCTAAATATAATAAATACTGCGCCCATAATTAATAAATTCACTAAATAAGTCACGGCATTAAACCTGCTCGTACAATACAAAAATTATTTATTTTAAGTAATTTTTTTTTAGAAGTTTCTATTTAAAACTTTAATTATTTTCGTGTGTATAAATAAATATGTATGTTCATTGATGCGGTGATGCAGTGTCACTCTGTCATGCGGTAGTTACACCATCAATTGTTATATATAACTTGTATAACTTCAGTTTTTTTGGTTTTTTTTTGCACCCCGTTTAAATAAATTCATATAAAAGGCATTCTATATTTCATTATGTCTACTATTCGAAGTGACCTAGTTCATCAAACAATTAATAGAGCATGGGCATCATTTGATTATAATACTCATGGAGACTTACATACTTCATATGAATATATACGACAAGTAATTCTCACTGATAGTTCTCTTACGGAGGATGAAAAAACTGAGGCAATAAGATTAAATAATAAAGATTATGATCGAGATAAGATTAGATGTAATACAGGAATAAGAAGAATTTGTGAAAATTGTAATCAAAAATGTTTAGCTACATTACATTGCGAATATTGTGTTCAAAATTATTTAAAAGCAAGATTTTCAAATTGGACGTCTGGAAATAATGATATTGATAATTTGATACAAAAATGTCAATTGGTAACACTTAGCCCGGGGATGATAGTAGAATGGATCCCATATGATAATCTACAAAATATTAAACATCTAACTAAAGGAGGATTCTCTGATATTTATACAGCAAATTGGATTGATGGATATTATATTGAATGGGATACTAAAAAGCAACAATTAATAAGATTCGGAACTCAGTTTGTAGTACTTAAAGAATTAGTAAATGTTGAAGGTGCAAGTCAAATTTGGTTTGAAGAGGTTTGTAATCTAATAATCTAATGACTTATATTTAAAATTTTCAATTATTATCAATAAATTTAAAATATATTTCTATAGGCTAAATCTCATTTAAATATAAGCAGTAAATATCCAAGAATTGCCAAGTGTTATGGTTTAACCAAAAATCCATCAAATGGAAATTATCTGCTTGTATTAAATTGGAAGGATATAAATTTAAGGGAATATTTACAACGAAATAATAGCCAAATTACATGGAAAGAACGAATTCAAATCGTTTTTTCAATAATTGATGCACTTCGTTGGATTCATAAAGAGAATTCGATTCATAGAGATTTGCATTCTGGAAATATATTATATTCACAACAAGCAGATGCTTGGTGTATTAGTGATCTTGGATTTTGTGGTCCTGCAGATAAATCATCAAAAAGTATATATGGAAATCTTCCTTACATAGCACCCGAAGTTATTTCTGGAAGAAAGTATTCTTTTGCATCTGATATTTATAGTATTGGTATACTTATGTGGGAAATTTCGTCTGGACAACTTCCTTTTTATAATCATGAACATGATTATAACCTTGCAATGAACATAGTTAATGGCGTAAGACCAAGAATAGTACCAGGAACTCCTTTAGAATATGAAAATTTAATCAAACAATGTTGGGATGCTGATTCACTAAAAAGGCCTAACATTAATACACTTTTGAATAAAATAAGTGAAATTAATGCATCATTTCAAAATATATCAGATGAATCACAAGCAAATAATAATTTGAACAAAAGTAACTTAAAAATAAATTATACGAGTAAAATGTTATTTACAAGTAAAGTCCACCAATTTGAAAAATTTCCTGAACCAAGGAATGCAACAGAAGGTAGGTATAATTGCATTATATATTTATTAGATTTATTAATGTTATTTTTATTAATATTATTTCCTTTATTATACAATATGATAACAGAAGAACAAGAAGGTAACGCAAATTTAATAGGTTTATTTAAAATTGATCTATTAATAAATTGATTTGTTTATTATAATAACTTAAAATATTACTTATTTATAACAGCATTTTATAGTAAATCATATGATTTAAATATTCCTGATAATTGTAAGTATTTGTTAAAATTTTTCGTCAAATTTTATCGTATGTTGATATACTGTATGTTAATATTTTTTCATTTTTTTCATTTTAGTTGATGATTCTAATTCAAATTATGCTAGTACATCTAAGACAAGCAGCAAATTAAAAGGTAATCATTTATTTTATCAATTATTTAATGTATTTGATTTATTTGATGTATTAATCTATTTCTTAATTTTAGGATTTAGTAAAAGATTATCTAAAGTATTTAAACCCCTGAATATAAATTCAAAAAATGATAAGTAAATATATTGTTAGTACAAGCGTTTTATTAAATATAATTTTTTTTAAAAAAAATTGATATTCAAAATGATTAAATGATTATAAAACAATGCAATAACAGACTGAATGACGTAAATTGATATTGACGTTAGGGTAGATATTTTTTTATAATAATAACTTCACTTCATAATTAAATTAAAGTTTTAATGAGTAATTATAATTAGTTTGTTTATTACTTTACAAATTATATGTCTCATTTTATTTTGGAATTTATTTAAACACTAAGACTAGAGTATCAAGAAATTTCTTAGTTTGTAATTTAAATAATTCTCTTATATTTACATAAATTATTAAATATATAAATTATCAATCTTGGTATAAGTATTAAAAATAAATGTTATATGATGATGGTTTTGTGAGTGTTTTATGAAATACTATGTGAATCGACTGCGGAGAAGAACATGAATGGACAACGGAGAATTTACATTACAGTATGACAAGTGTTTCAGGGGTTTGTTTGTTTGAATATGGAACGTTAAGAAATAGGTGTTTTGCAGGGTGTTACGATAACATGTAGTGTATGGATACCTTTATATGTAGGATCGGTAAGACGAATACCAGTGGTGTAGGGTCGACCACCTGTAACTCGTGGTTACACAAATATATGGATCACGGATTGAACTAAAGCCACATATAAATTACTATAGTTTAGATGTGCAAATCACAATGATCTTATTTTAATAAAAAAGTGATAATTATATGATACTATCACACCATGACGGCACATTGCGAAGCTATACATGATGTGAATCTTATCGCCTTCGCGTTTCTAGTTCTTAAGATATTTAGCATCAGCTACTTAAAATACCTCAAAATTATATATAATTTTATTATATACTTGAAAATAATACACAATAAAGGAAGTATACACTATTTTTAAATGTTTTAGATAAAAATATTTATAATTTTTTTTATTAAGATCTTATAAAAAAAAAGTTTAATTTCTAACTTTCTATTATCAAGTGGTAAAAACATAAAAAACTAAGAATAGAGCTAGCACACACAACCTTAACTTTTAACATCAGCTGCTCTTCTATGTATGTGTGCTGCGAAATTTAATATGGATTTTATTTGTGTAACCAATTTTATGTGACTTCAGTTTTGTCTTGTGATCATAAATATGTGTAACCCTGCCCTGTTTATTTATCTATCCCCTAGACCCTACAATACACTACATCTGTCTACATGTTTACTATGCTCTCCGGTATTTGTGTTCATATAAAAAATAATAATAAAAAAAAAAGAAAAAAAAATATATACATACATATAGTATATATATTTTTTTTCAAACGAAATGATTTTTTTATATACTTCATTGATATATATTATTGTGTTTGGTGCTTTTCTTCAATTGTTAGTTGAAGTAAAGTCTCAATTAATAACTTATAAACCAGATTTACGTTACGCTCATACTGCTACATTAATTGAAGATAAAATATACATATTAGGCGGAGCAGTCCCTCCTCCTCGTACTGATTACGGGATATCACCAAAAGAAACGTTTTTATATCTCGATGTCTCTACTCCTTTTAGCACTAATGAAGTAAAATATATTGACATCTCAAACAACAATGCCGTTCCATCGCATCGATTTGCTATAGCTACTAAAGGTGGTGCAAACAATAGTACGTTATTCTTATATGGTGGTGATAATTTAAACAATCAAACAAAGGAATTAGTTTATACGTTTGATGCCCAACATAGCACATGGAGTGTTCCAAAAATAACTGGTGATCCTGATCCTCCTAAAGGAACGAGTTATATGTTTCCTGTAATTGATTATAATGAGTTATTTTATTTATTTGGCGGAGGAGGTGCTCCTGTGGTAAATTATGTGAATGATATGCATATCTTGGATACAATAAATTTAAGCTGGAAAAAAGCCAGCTCAATTGGTGCACCTAGTAATAGAGATGGTTATGGTGCCGTATTCTTACCAAACAAAAAAATTATCTATATGGGTATGTAATATGAACATATGATTTATTAAGAATTTTTTCATATTCATGATATTATTATTATAACTAGGTGGGTATGGTCCGAATGGCTTTTTACCACTAAATGAGGTAATTATTATAGAATCAAATAAATAAATTAAAAGTAATAACTCATGACTTTGATAATATTTTAAGGTATTCTTATATGATACAATCAACAATTCATGGGAGAGAAAGGTAGTGTTCTTATTAGTTTTTTGTTATTAATTCAATTTTAATAGTGTGTAACCTTCTATTCTTACGTTAGGAAACTGATGGAATAGTACCCACACCAAGAGCTTCATTTTCGGCGGTTCTTGGTAAATATTTCAAATTATGGTTATTACGTAATATATTAATATATATTTAATTTAATCTACAATCAACAGGATTAGATGGACAAAGTGTGATTATTTTCGGAGGGAGTTCAGAACCCCCTCTAAGCCGTGAAATTGCACTTTATGTTTTAAATTTAAATAAATTTAGATGGCGTATTCCGGGAATCTCTGGAAAAATTCCAGCAAGCCGTGCTTTTCATAATGCATTATTAATTGGAAATTATATGGTCGTGACTTTTGGTAAATATAATAATTGTTTAGATTTAGTATTTTATAAATTATTTAAATTTACTAAAATATATTTAATATTAAAGGTGGTGGATACATGCGAGAAGATGATAATGATATATTATTACTTGATATTAGTAATAACGATGAATATGCTTGGACAACATCTTTTGTACCTCCATTACCTACTTCTCAATCACCTACTAATTCATCATCACATTCTAATATTAATACAATCGGCGTAGCTATAGGAATTTTAATAGGTGTAATTGGTGGTATTGCATTGACAGTCGGAGGTTTCTTTTTATACAAACAATATAAAAATAGAAAAGAACGAAGTAAAGCAATATCAACTCCTGGAAATGAGAGAATTAATATCAAATATTCTTAAAAAATTAGATATATCAAATCCTGAAGGAATTTTGAAAGAAAGAACTGTAGTGGTTGAAAAAAAGTTCTCAGAATAATTTTTCCAGTCAAAATTTAGCTGTAAACCATTGCGTGATTTTTTACATACGTGTAATTTCGAAATTCACACCCTTTTAAACTCCTATACATGTTATGGACTTTATCATATTTTTAAAGTAGTTTATAGTGTATTGAAATAAAATACAAGTCCGAAAGGAATTTTTAACGATTAAAATTTCGTTAGTGTCGCATGATTTGTTTTGCTGGGAATCTCGTACAACTCCTTTATGATAACAAATTAACCACAAATAATAAATTAGATATCGTATTGGGTATAACCTGTACGAATGAAAATTCATAATTAAATTCCTTCCATAAAGGAAACAATAATAAATTATAGGTACGTTTTTGTTCATTGCATATTTTCCTAATTTTTAATTGCTGCAGAAAAATGTTACCGCAAATCTTGTACTACTTGCCATGAATTTAAAAATGCTAAGCCCTGAAACTCGATTAGTTTTATGTAACCAGCAAGTATTGCCCGTTTATACTACCCGTTTACTTTTTTATCAGATATGACTCAAGTAATATCTGGTATTACCCGGATAAAAATCAATTTTTTTTCTAATAAATATACACATCAAGATAATTAGAAAATAAAATAAAAAAATAAGTGCTGAGTAGCACACCTCTTAATTCTGGCCGAAAGTTATAATTTTGGCCAGATTTAGTGAACATTTCATTTAGCCAAAAATTAAAATCAATATAAACCTTAATTCTGGCCGGCAATAAAATTCTGGCCAGAGTTAACATATTAACTCTGGCAAAATTTAATTTTCTATTGGAGTGGGTATATATGCATTACAGTAACATTTTACTCGTTTGCTCCGGATACTCGAGTATACCGGATTGTATCCGGGTAAACGGGTAACGGGTCGCAGCTCTACCAGCAGTTTGTATACTTACATCTTTTCTTTAAATATATACTGTAATTCACTTATTTTTATTTAATTGTAAGCATGGAACACATACTCCAAAACAATTCTGAAATTATACACAAGGAGAGATCTTATGACAAATACTGTCTCAATATTGTCAAAGGCAATAGTTTTGCTTATAAAAGAAGTATTATCAGATTATAATTTGTCAGAAATAAATAAATTCTTTCAACTTTTGTCCCCGGTCAACTAACCGTGAAAAAATGCTACGAAAGTTCATGTGATTTTTCACCACCAGTGACCAGTGTCACATCCTACCGTATTTCATTTTTTAATAGCTCTCTTTCTTTATTAGTATTTAGATACCGAATATATTTTTTCCAAAGATCTACACTTTTACCCGTTTATCCTCCTGCGGATCTACAGGCCTTCTAGGGGCTATTGACCTACCTCTGGTATAGACCTTGTTGTCAAGACCATTTAAACTAAAAAAAATTATGAGACGTTTAGAATGGTCTCCATAATAAATATGTATCACCTCACTATCTAAACATTGATTAAAAAAGAAAAATCTTTTTCGGTCTTTTTTTTTAGAACCAAAATTTTAATAAATATTATTTTTTTCAGTCTCTTTTTGGTCTCTTTTTTTTAAACTAATTTTTTTTATATTTTTTTTTTTTTTTTTTGTCACTTTTTGGGTCAAATTTTTTTTTTTTTTTAATATTATTTCTTTCGGATTCTTTTGGACTGAAAATAATTTTTTTTTTTAAGTCTCTTTTTTGGATGAATTTTTTTTTCAATTTTTTCAGTTTTTAAAACTCATATTTTAATAATCTTTTCTTTCTATTTTTCTTAAAACTGAATTTTTAATATTTTTCGCTCCGGTATTTTTAAAACTGAATTTTATAACTTATACTAATATTTTTTTTATGTAATTTTTTTTATTTACTATTTTTATTAACTTATATACTGTATGTGTAAATATAGTATGTGATTCACAAATAGTACATATCCCGTTGTTTTTGTTTTGGGATTCATAGTTTCAAACTTGCTTTAATCTACCTTCTCCTGCCTCACCTTTAAATGTACAATAATATTTTTGCAGTGCTGAATTATACCTAAAAGGAGGTTCATTTTGGAATAAATGAACAAATATATTCTCAGGAAAGACATTTATTGAGAGTCGTTTGGATCCTACGGAATGTCTATTGAAACCAAGACGTTTTTTAATTAAGACTATAAACGCATTTTGGTAAGACACAAGCTGCTCAAAAGTAGACTGGTGGAGTAAATGGAGATGAAGTATAGTTTTATTGTTTTTATGCTTAGTTCTTTCATGAGTTAAAAGTTGTTTTCGCAAAGAAAAGGTTTTTTGGCAAAGGTAACATTTAAAGGATATGTTGGATACAGTAACGCGTGATTGTGCCGTATAATAGTTAAACTGGTAATGATTGACCGTCGATCATTTCGCAGGTGATATAACTGAAGTGAGCCATATGGCCGATTTTCATTTTTAATTCATTCTTTTCTGGATCGACAATCTAATAATCAAAATAAATACATATTTGAAACAAATTATATCTTGTGTGATTTTTTATCTAGAATAAGTAAAGTACATATTTTAGCTTAATTTTATTTTTTTTTTGTCGGCATGTTTTTATTATTTTTAAGAAAATTTATTTGTTTTACTTTTCTTCTTCATAACTTTAGGATTACTAGTATCCATCCGTTTATTACCTTATTTAACCTCCTTTTCCGGCTCTTCTACTTCGTCTCTTTAGCAGGCCGAATTCGACATAATAAATCTCTTAGCAGTTAGATAATTTGTTAATAATAAATCACGTGGTATGTTACGATTTAACATATGTTATGTGTAAAGTTTTAACATTATTACCATTATACCAACACTCATCTCCGAAAGGGTTGGATTTGGTTTACAGTTGTTAGAGTCGCTGTCGGTCTTAGTATATAGGATCTGTGTGATTTTTACTGTAGCTTCGTTCGCTTTGAAAAATAAAAACATTATTATCATTATTGCCACCGATTTATACTGATATTTAATAACTTGTTTTCAAATTTTTTCATGTTATATAATTTATAATATATTGAAATTTATTTAGTATTACGTAGAATGAAAAAATACAAAATGATTGTAATCAAATGTATACCACGTATTCATGTGATAATCGTGATATGTCGTAATATATCACAACCGCACCTTTAAATGTCTTAAAATCAGATCATAAAAATAATGATATAAATTTCTAAACTGCTTATAAATATTCGGTGTAAGTCGCATATTTTTGGCTAACTAGTTTATGACAATTTTTGAGTTTATTCAATTGACAAAAAATCAATGAAATTATAATACGAACGCTAGTTCGCTGGTTTAATTTATGGTCTTTTGTGATATACTTATTACTAAAATAAATAACAACAAAAATGAAGGATGTCTAAAATTGCCTCACTTTTTGGATTGTCTCATAAACACCAAATATTAAAATTATTATTGATAATGCAACGCTCAGGCATTAATTTATCTTTTTTTTTCTTTATATAATTGTCAATAAAATTTGAAAAATTGACGTCATACTTTATCACAAATTTCTGTACAAATATATCTTTTATTGTTATAATGATAATACATCTTAGCTTTTACATAACTTATAATAAATTTAACAAAAAAAATATTGTTTTCGTATAGTATATCAACTCCCTTAGAGCCAGTTATTCTATAAAAATTTGATTTTGTTGCAGTAGAACAATTGGCCAACGACCGGTTGGATTGAATTTCGTTCCTAGGCATGGAAAAGATCACAGAAAAGAATTTTATCATTCTAATCTTAAAAGTAACCTTTTGAATTGCTGGCATCTATAATAATACCATTATTATAATAACTCTGATACAAAAAAAGTTCCAGAATTTGGGATGGATAATACAAATTTAAGAAACTGATTTTATATATCTAATAAAAGTATTTCTTAGAAAACTTTCCAAGTAATTTATATAAGCTATTTCCATTTTTTCCCATGCTATTTTCTAAAGGTATATAATGGCTTTCTTTAAAATCATTGATTCTACTACGCTTCACTTCATCATTTATTTTTTTCAAAGTCTGTCCGTTGATGGGTAAAGCATATAATCGTTGTTCAAGGTCGCTTATGTCCTTTGGTGAAATTGGGCATGTGTCATCGTTGCTAATTGCTTGATTTATCAAATCTATTTGATCTAAATAACTTTTTTTCGTGTCTTCAAGTCCTTTGAGTATTTCATCATCATAATTTCTGGGATCAGCACTCTTCTTAATCTTTTCTTCATTTACGAAGAGATCCAAGTATTCCGCATACGCATCATTGAAACTTGCTATTGCGTTTTGTCTTAGGAATTGTGCAAATTTAATACTAATTTCATTTATTATATTCTGTTCACCTTTTAATTGAGTCAATCTCTCTTCACACTCCTTTATCATTGCTTTTTTTGCATCTTGATCTGATTTATTTTTTAAGATCTCTGAATTTACATCCTCATTAACAATATTATTAATTATTTGTTTATTCTCATAAGAAATATGCATATGTTTATTCCGTTCACAGCCACATTCTTTACATGTTCCATCGAATTTCATGGCCCAGCATAATTTCAAATAGTTATTAAACGGTACATAACAGCGTTTGCAACAATGTTGTATATAATCTATCTTTATGGTTGTTTCGTTAATTTTCAATGTTCTATCACAGCTGCCATTTGTGCACACCGTTCTCGGGTATCCCAATTGTATTGGCTCGAGGTCTATTTGCGGAATATAAAGTTGGTCTTTAAGATCTTCTATCGTTTTGTCAGAGTTTTCTATTTCACTTTGTTTTTCTTTGATTAATTTAATATTCGTTTGGATAAGTTGACCTACTTCCGCAAGAGGTTTAGAAAGAAGCATTACAATACTTCTAGCATTGTTAAGCGATATAGTATCTTCTACCTGGTGAGGCTTACATCCCGAAATGTGCTCAATAAGTCTTCTTGATTCATTCACAGATTTTTTCCAACTCTCTGCAAAACATAGTTCATCCGTTTCCGTAAAAGCGATACCTTCTTTAAGTGCTGCTAAGAATCTGAATGATTCATTATCGAAGCAATAAGTAGTATCTTTATCTATATTTATTTCAACGTTAGAACGTTCCTTGAGCTCGTCAATTTGTTTTTTAAGTGATGGCAATGTGTCCCCTGGGCGATAAAATGTTCCCCTAGCATTTGTAAAGCAGAAGACTATATTATCTTTTGCACTCTTATGAAGATGTGACAATAATTCCTGTACACAAAATCTAAACACTATATTAAGTCGTGGATTGTTGGGCTTGAGAAGGATACATATCCCATTTAAAAATTTGTATTTGCTAATAGAAATCATTATTTTTTCAAAATTTTTCTTGTCTTCATTTAATCCTCTAGTGTCTCCTATGCCGGGAGTATCAATCAATCTTATATGTTTATTTCCAGGTGCGTGGAATACATAGCTTTTACACCATATAGTAGATGACTCTCCTACACTTCCTAACCGTTCATTTGAATCATCATCGCCTAATTTTATTGTTTTCATCTCACAATTTTCATCTGTTACTGTAAACTTGGATGGGATAAATACCCTCATATTTCTAGATTTTGCATCGCTGAGCGAATCAAACTTGAGATAATTCACGAAGGCGTTTATAAATGTAGACTTTCCTACACCAGTCTCACCAAGAAGTAGTATGTTTATTTCTTCTGGAGATGCTGACGGTAACACTTTAATAAGTGTGTCTGACTCAAATGGTACGTATCCTCTAGTATGATGAGAGCTATTGCATCTAAATTTACAATGAGTAACATCACTTTCACCGCAATCACAATACAAACGTTTGTTATAACCATATTTTATGTTCTGTTCACATTTGAGACATCTCCAATTACAATCAACTATTGGACAATCCTGGGGACAGGGCATTACCAACTGTGTCTTCTTATTAGGAGTATTTTTCGGCTTGCTTGGTACTGGATCAAATTTAACAACATTTGATGTAAATAACACTTTGCTATCATCATAATAGTTATCACTATTTAACTTTCCATTAATATAATGTTGAATTACTGGATATTTAGAACACTCTTTTCCGGTAAATATTTTAAGACAATACTTGCTCAATTCATCTGAATTGTAAAGGTCACGAAACATACTGTATATTGGAAATGACTTATCATCAATATTATGTTCATCGCTATCAATAAGTATATATATTTCATTGTTTGGATATTTAAGCAAAATGTGCTCATCAATGGTTAAATTTTTATCAATTTTCTCCACTTTTTTTGATTTTATAGCAAGCGCTAAGCCAGCCCTTATAGATACTGATCGGTGCTTTTTAATAAATTCCATTATAGAGCTCTTAGACAAGTTACCTTTCTGAAATGTTTCTATCTTACTTTCAAGTTCGTCAGTATCTTCATTACTAAAACGTATTTTAATAAGATATTCTGTGAGTTCATTTACGAATCTTACTTTCTCGTTTCTGACTTCTTGCATACGGTCTTTGATTTCATTAAAAACTGGTGTGAGATCAGGTAAAATTATTTGTGCTTCATTTGTATCATTGAATAAATCATTAAGTCTTTGTTTGAACTCAGATAAATTATCAAACATTTGTTCTACTTTTAGGATAGTTGCCTCACTCAAACTTGTTTCCATGAAATTAACGTTGGTATTTTGAGCAAATAGATCCGCGAGATCTGATATTGGATATAGTATATATTCGATTGGAACACCTTTCCCATTATTAAGTTTTTTAATATACGAAGGAAGCCCAATTATGATCTTTCTTGCTTCATTAAAAGACTGAGGAAGCTGCTTGTTATGCGGAATATCACCAAATAGTTTTATTGAGAAATGAGTCCCAAGATTCGGCTCTTTAACATTTTTGAAGCTTTTCTTAGAAATAGAAACTGATAAATTTTCACAATATGCCTTTAGTCCTTCTTCGACTTGTGACTTTTCCTCTTCTTTCACATTACTACATTCAATTGATGCTATTATACTAGCTCCCCACTTTATTCCTATTATGACATGGGTAGCATGGTTATTACTGAACTCATCCGTGGAAATGCATGCCTTAACATCGTCACGATAAATGTCCAAATTTTCCTCAAATGAAGTTATCTTATATATTAGATTGCTTTTCACAGATTTAAAACTTTCCTTTACGTCAGTTAGATACTCTATAGAACCTTTCAAACCTTTCCAAGAAAATAGTTCCGCGATAATACTTAATTTTAATTCAGCTTCGACGTCTAACATTTTGAACTTTTCCTTATATGTATTCTCATATCCACATAATATATTAGGTTGAAAGATTTTAGTTTTTTTAATTGAACCATTTGGCCACTTTTCTTTATTTAATATATTGATTCCACAGAACGTATCTATAGTAGCATTATATAGAGACCCAATCTCTTCGATCCTCCCAAGAGACTTTCGTCGTATAGTATTTTGAATATCTTCCATTAAATTTGACGCAGCGAGACTAAATTTTGATTTCAATCATAAATCTGGTTTTTTTTAAAGGGAAATTTTATACATGTGGGTGTAAAGGCCGTATTTTTATAATGAAAACTTTGTTTTTTTTTTCTAAATAATCAGGCTAAAACAGGTTTTAATTGACACATGAAAAATTGTCAATCAATGGGACCAACTTTATTTTGAAGAATGACTCTTTTTTTAGAAATTAGAATAGATTATCAATATAAATTTAACAAACAATTATAGTCTATATAAAATTTAATGCATTATCAATATGCAATTTTACGCATTATCTACATGCATTCTGCAAAATAATTTTAAATCATTGTTCTTTAACTGATCGATATTATTATGTAAGATTAGAACAATATTGAATGCACAAGTATATACATAAAAAGAAAATAAGCTTATGAAAAACTAGTCAAATAAAAGTTCATTTATTTTCATCAATTCAATGGTAGAACAATAATAGATTACTATATCGGTCAATAAATTACATGTACCTTAATGATTCGATAATAAATAATTTCTATTCAACGATGCAATGATGCATAAAAAATTATGAAACATACATAATGTGAATTACAATAAGTTACCGTGAAAAATTTTTATCTGGATAAAAGAAAAAATATCTAAAATCCAGATATTTATTTGAAAAAAAAAGAATATATATATAGTTTCTTTATAAACCAAAAAATCAATTATTAATTATTACAATAATTATTTTAATTTCAAATTTCTGCAGATAAAAAAAAATGTAAAAAAAAAAAAAGTTCATATTTAGTTTATCAGAATTCGCCATATTATTTATTCCTTAAATAAATAATATATAAATAATATGTAAAAAAAAAAAATTTTAATAAATAAAATGACAAAATTTTTTAGATAAAAATAAATTCCTGAAATCTTTAATAAAATAAACAAAGGAGATATAAAATATTAGAATTTTATTTTTATTTTTATTTTTATGACACAAGGTCGTCAATTATCAGTACAAAATATAAAATATTAGAAGTACGTTTAATATTAATATTTCTTTTTTGCTGATGCGCCACAAAATCATGTGGTTGGAAAAAGTGACGGGAAAATAAATCCACTAGAGGGTCGATCTTAATTCTGGATAAAGTTAATCATGCTTAAAATTTTGATAACTCTGGCCTACCTGATTAAGTTTTCATTAATCTTTTATTTCTGAACCTTACTTCAGATCTTTGATTAACAATAATAAAAAAAAGAACCTACTAAACAATCATAAAAATACATAATAAATATTGTCAATTGATAGTGCGCAGGTTTAAATGGTTTAGCAGGTAGTCATTAAGCCAATGATCATCTACAATGACAAAGTTTTAAAATTTTTTTTTCGTAATGTCGTAGTAATTGATTTAGAATTTAATATTTAAATTTTATGACTTAAAAACATCAATTCCACAAAAAATATTTATTCCAAAATTTTTTTTGTTTCAAACACTTATTTATGACTCTTTAAACTAACAATTTTACTGAACGTTCAAATGGATAACGGAACATTTGAAAATAACAAGCGTCAACATCATGTTATCTTCACGATTAAACTTTTTCTATTAAATTTATTTTAAAAATGTGTGATCGTCAATTAGAATTATAAGGTAGGATGACGTACAGTATGACATCATTTAACAGCATGTGGTTAATTTTAATAATTGGGGCAGATCTTTTTTTAATGTCAGTCGATATTAGTTAACATTAGTATAACCTGAATAATAAAAAATTATGAAGCTGTATATGTACAGTATATATATCTTGATGTACTATAATTTTAATTGTATTTTATTTAACATAAAGATGCTTTTTCAAAGATGCTTTTTAACTTTTTTTTTTTTTTTTTTTACAAAAAAGTTAAAAAAATTAAAAAAATTCATTTACCGAGAAAGTAAATCATTTAAGCGTAGACGTAATTGAAAAGCAAGATGTTCATGCTTTTTCAATTAAGGATCTACCACCGAAATATTTTGTAAATTTCAGAATTTGACACGTAAGTATGTTTAAAACTTACATCATAAGATCGTCAGAAAATGAAGAGAGTATTATATATAAATGAGCTGTGGTTTCTCTGACAGATTCAACTAGATCATGTCCGGTTTGTCAATTAATGTGATTTGTAAATAAGTTTAAATTATTCGCCAATAATCACAAAATTTGTAAAATACCTCTATGAATGACGAAATCGTAAATAAGACTATATAATACATGAAATCAAATTTCTGGTATAATTTCAACTAATAATTCGACACAAGCAATTAGAGAGTTCATATCTACTAAATTACTTTCGTATTTCCTAAGAATAAAGTCACCAAACAAATTAATACAATCGTCGCCAACTTTCTTCCTGGACATCTTATAAAAGAATTCTTCTTTGACTCAAAATTTTCATCCATCCATCTATCAGGATTAAATTTATAAGGTTCTTCCCAATAATAATCACATTATGGATAGCTTTAACATTAATTATAAACAATGTGTCAGCTGTCCATTGATATCCCGTTCACTAGGTTTATCAATATATTTTGTAAACAAAGTTACAGTTGGAAAAACGCGAGCTACTCCTTTAACAATTTCTTTACGATTATTTAATGAATATTAAATAATATAGTAAACCGTAAAATTCATATTTAGTAATTGGTCAAATTTTATATACTATAACATTTCCTTTTTTCACATCTGGATAATATGCAATATAATAGATGGTGAATGAACATTCATTATTTGAAATAAAAAAAAAGGAATGGTTATCATAATTAAAGTTAAGCATATTACATTTACGTTAAATTTCGATGATTAAAATTGTAAAATAAACCTAAAATTAAGATATTTATAATAAAATTCATTTACTTTATAAGCTCCACTAAGAATATCAAATAATTTAACGCGAATTTCGGTATCAGTCAAAAATCTATGTAATTAACATCACGAAATGTGTTTTTTGATAATCATCATACGGTATGGGTTCATATTACAATTTCTTGTCTACGACTCTAATATTTGCACCCAGTTTTTGGCTTATTTTAAAAAAAATGGAACATAATTTTGTAGATAAATCCCATAAAAAAGATTACAGAATCTTCGATTCTTGTTGATGGATGATAACTACGACTAAATATCTATAATTTGGGAAGTCTCATTAATATTCTACTCGACATAAAACTATAGCGTATAAATCTCATGTATGTCACCATCATATTTCTTATAATAATTATAAACCATTTCGATATCTCCATGAAACCACTAATAAATATGAATGGGAAGATCTCAGGACCGGTGATAAAATATGTATAACTAGGAACCGTTGTAAGTCCGGAGCGAAAACTAAAATTTGCAATTTCATTGGGCGACGATCACGTGCAACGAGAAAGCCACGTGATCGATTTTTTTTCATGATGCGTAGACATACCGTACCGCATACCTATAGTTCCCCCAAAGTTAGTACCAAAGTTAGTACCCACGTTATAAGACCCGGGTATTTTAATTTTTACTCTTAATCTCCTGTCGCACTAAGTGTCACTCATGACCACCTTTATACTAATTTTTAAAAATTGCGAGTGATTAGCTGTTTATAAATGACCGGGAATCTTCGTTTAGTTATTTCCCGGCCTCATATAGATAGCCGGGAAATTACTAATTTTAGTTTAAAATAGTTAAAATAGTTAATATTTAATGAGTGACACGCTCCAGGGGATTACCCATTTATTTCATGGGAAGGGGAACATTAGGGTTTTTTCCCTTCGGGAAAAAAACCCTATTATTCCCGACTCCCCACGAAATAAATAATACCAATTAGTGTCCCCCTTAATTCTAGTACTGTAGATTTAGCTTAATTCTGGTTAAAATTATTATGTACCCCTCATATAATACCCGGTATCTCACAAAGTACCCACGGGTAATATATAATTTCGGTACGGTATATTGTCCGGAGCGAAGCGTAGGACAATAATGGTGTCACATAAAATAAAACATTAATTATTTAAATTCTCAAGTGATTTTAAAAGTCATCTTATTGTTTCTCTTTTTATTTTATTTTATTTTATTTTTGTTGCTGAGCTCCTTCAGTCTTAACAATTTTCAGGGAGATTTATATTTTTAACAACAAAATTATTTACATATGATCATATGATCATTTCGACATAATCAACGCACATTAAAAACTCCTGACGATCTCACATCTCATAGATTGTTGTACATTTTGAATTTTGTGACCGTAATCGTCGTATAACGACCTACTGTATATTAAATTTCATACAAAATTGACGTCATTGAAAAAAATCAACATAATATAAAAAATCTATCAATATTAGAATAATAAGTCTATTATTATTAATTTTATGGTGGTATAAATAAGTTATTTCATGGAGATTTTCACGGCGCAGCCGTGAAAAAATCCACAATTCCTCGTGAAATAACTATTACACATATACGTTGCCTTACCAATTTACATAGTAATAAAAAAAAATATTCAAATACAATATATCTTTTTAAATATAAAAAAGTCAATTTCTTGGTTTAATTTCAACTAATAATTCGACACAAGCGACTATAAAACCGATATTCGTAGTTTTCATAGGAGAATCTGTATTTACTAAATTAATTTCATATTTCCTAAACAATAAAGTCATCAAACAAATTAATTCAATCATTGCTAACTTTCTTCCTGGACATAATCTTAATCCTCCACCAAACATGATAAATGAATATTTCTTTGATTCAAAACCTTCAACCATCCATCTATCAGGATTAAATTTATCAGGTTCTTCCCAATAATCTTTATTATAATGAATAGCATCAATATTAATTCGAAATAATGTATCAGCTGGCCATTTATATCCTGCTATTTCATCAGTTTTATCAATACATCTTGCAAATGAGCGCATTATTGGAATAATTCGAGCTACTTCTTTTACAATTGCTTCACAATAATTTAAATTATAAAAATCATCTTTAGTAATTGGTCGCATTTTATCATCTCGGAATATTTTATCAATTTCTTCTATCATTTTCTTTTTTACATCTGGATTTTTTAAAACATAATATATAATGAATGAAAACATATTCGCATTCTATATTTAAATAAAAAAAGAAAAAAGGAATGGTTAATATTATTTCAAGTTAAATTTAAAATAAACAATAAACCAAAATTTTAAAAAAATTTACTTTATAATTTCCACCAAGAATTCCTTCAAGTAAACTAAATCGAATTTCAGTTTCAGTCATAGATCTCGCGACTTCACCAGCTTCGATATAATTAACATCACGAAATGTATTTTTAATAATCATCGATGTCAACATATCATGCGGTAAGGGTTCATTCAATGGTATATCTTCAATTTCTTTTCTACGTCTCTTAATAATTGTACTCAGTACTTGATTAAGAAATCCCATATTCTGAAGTATATCATCTGCTTTATTTTTAAAAAATGGAATATAATGTCTTAAGAAAGGAGAAATGATATAAAATATTGAATAACCTGTAATATGTTTATTAAGTGCTTGAACTAATTTTACAGAATCTTCAATTATTTCTGATGGTTTATCAGATTTTTCATCAATGAAAGTATTAAAATAAGTTGTCATTAAATAAGATCTTTCACCAGTTAATAATTTAATAATTAAATCAGTTGAATAATGATTAAACCATTGAGAAATATTTAATATATTTTTATTTTCTTTGATAATTTCTTCTTTAAAAAATAATTTATCCCAATAACTTTCTAATTCAAGGAAAAGAACGTTTGTCCAATGAATAGCTTCGTTAGTAAATTTCGGTGACAGAATTGCTTGTGAAAAAAAATGACGATTACGTATCCACGATTTAAAATTGGTATTAAACACGACTCCTTTCCCTTCAATTCCCAATTCTTCTGGTCCTTTACAATTGGGAAGTCTCATCCAATGCGTACTTTTTTCTGATAAAAAATTTTCAAGATAATCACTTTGACATAAAACTATGGACCTTACATTCGCAAAATTAGAATAAGTTGAATAAATCTCATGTATGTCACCATATTTTTCGTAACAATAATTGTAAAACTTTTGTGAATCTCCATTAAATAACCAATAAATTTGAGGCAAATTACCTATGAATGGGAAAGGGAATGGACCAGGTAAAGGATTGACACGAGTAAAATATGAATAATAATAATATGCTACATGTGTAATTAATATTGTACTTAACAATAAAATATAATCATTAATTTCAAAATTCTCCAGTAATTTAAAATTCATCTTATCGTTTCTGTTTATTTTTATTTTTATTTTTTTTGTTGTTGTTTTTAACCTTTTCAGAAATAATATATAATATTTTGTTAATCTGCAAATTATTCTACATATATGGACATTCCGACACTAAAAATAATTACGTCAATCTTTCGCGATTAAAACTTTAAACATAGAAAGATTCTAGATTTGATATTTCAAATAGACAATGAAATTATATGACATGCTGATCATTTAACTGCATGTGTTAAATGTGATCACCCGGTTTTATTACCTTTGCAGATCCTAAATAAGAAATCGTCTTTCTGTAGCGCCAAGCTTCGTAGTTATATATAACCTGGATAATAATAAAAAAAAAAAATTATGAAACTGTATATATATATATATATATAGTTTAACTTGGTGAGCCAAATTTCCTAATAATTAATTAAGTGTAGCTGAGCGACAAGATGCTCATACTTTTGAATATTCCATTATGAAGTATACAATTCTATAAAGGCTGATGATAAAATGATCTACCGTATAGTGCAGTAGAAAGTATATTCCAGAGTTTTGACACGAGCATGTTTAAAACTTTCATATTAATAGGATGAAGGAGTATACTGTCATTAATAAGGAATTGTGTAATTGAATGATATTCTAAAGCTCCTGACAACTAATAGTTCTATTTTCTACTATATTCAGTTTCCAATTAATGGTTAGTTATAAAACATTGAATACACATTATTACACAATAACCATAAATTATAACAAATCAGAAATAAGTTTAACCTTAAATATAATAATTAATTTGTCGTCAGCATTTTTGTTCAAATATTCACAATAATCATACTCCTAGTTATTCATATGGATCATCACACATTATTCATTTTTAATTGGATTCATTTGAAATCCTTAAATTGAACATAGGCAGGACTATGCAAAAATTTGGAAAAGAAGGGTGAAAAGATAAAAGATAATTAATAAACCTAAGGCTAAACATGATAAAGAGCGTCCAGGGGCGGTTATTGGAGGGTATGACAACGGGTTGTTTTTTGCCATGTGGAAACGGGATGAATATAAATATGGTCATAATAAATGGGTATCAGCCAATTTAAAAATGAAAATAAGGGGACTTTTAACAATTTGTTAAAAGGAAAAAATATTATGAATATCAAAATTAACCATTCCAACGTCATTTCAGTATGTTTCGCTTAATTTCGATGTTAGCCTGAATTAATCCTTTATGGTAACAACTCATAGTCAGTCATGTTATAACGGGATTATGTTCGTCTATCAACTGATATGCGACACATGGATTTTGACTAACCGAAAAAAACTATTCCCGAAAAGAGGGGCGTGATTTATCTCCATAGTGTGATCAGATGTGTGATCAGATGATTTGTCGATCAGCTCTCAAAAAAAGTGCTGACAAAAATAGTATTTTATGTTTGACAAGCGATACTTAGCGAATCGACACGACTCCATCATAAGTTTTATTATAGAAGTTATTTTTGAGTTTTTGATATTGTAAATATATCGACTAAAAAAATCGTAAGATTTATATTTTTTTTATTTTAATATATAAACTTTTTGGGTTTTGCATTTATTTTATAATAACTTATTAGAATAATCATTTAAAAGGTTTTTTTAACTTATTTAGTGGTTCATGAGTTTTTATTTTGTAAGATTTTAGTATTTTAATATTAAGGAAATATTTATTTTTTAAAAGGATCTTTTTTTTTTTACTTTTTGTAATAATAAACTAACAAAAAAATTTTAATTTTTTATATTATTATTCTTTCTTAAACTTACCTTGTAATAATATATGAGATAAATTTATATTATTTATTGGTTTTGTGATATTTTTGGTTGTTTCTTGTTTAAAAGTATAAAAATTGTTTGTTTATATATTTTGCCGATCACATAATCATTTGTACGGTTTCTTTTATGAATTTTCTTAATTGGGATAAATCAAATTAATAAGTTTCTTTTTTAGTCATGTTAGTAGTTCTTGAATAGATAGAAGCTTTTTTATCCGAAGTGGCGTAATATGACGTGACAATCTTTCTTTTTTTAATGAGTTAATGAATTCATAACTAACTGAATATACAAATTTTAATGTAATGAGATTCATCTCGTAAAAATAATCTGCGCCCGATTGTGATAATATTTACATTAAAAAACACATTTATTTTCGTTGGATTGCAATTTTTTAACGAAATGTATGTATTTAATATATAAAGTTATATATTCAAATATTTACTTTAATATTCTTGCAAATACAGTATAATCAATATACGAAAGAACGTTCTATACCTTGAACGACATGTTAATATTGTATTACCTGTCGGTAAAAAAAAATTCTTATAGTTTTCAATATCGCAATATCTTTATAATTAACATTAATATAACTTGTGAGATTATAATCTGTTAAAATATTAATTTATTATTTTACATATTTTCACTTCCTTAACTTAGACAGAGCATGATTTATTTTAAATATATTCATTCATTTTATTATGTTCAATATTTGTAGAAATTCAAAGTTGTTTATTTACAAAAAATTACAATTTTTTCAAAATAAAATAATTTTATACCATTATTCTTGAAAAACTATATTTAATTTTATGAATTTATGTCTTTATGAATTCTTTCATATATTATTTTCGGAGACTTTTGAAGATTATTCCGATTGCGTCATTATACAGCATGCACTAGAGATTGACTAATTATGTTATTATCCTGAGTACAATTTTCTTTTTATATAAATAAATTAAAATAATCTCGTCATTTAAATTTTAAAGGGTAGATTTCCATTAGAGAAATTCTTTTGACAAATAAACCCTTACTATAATGGTCGATCCATACAATTATATATTTAATTATTGTCCTTTAAAAATACTAGTACGGTAACACTAGGCACTGTATAAATTTTTAGTATTATTTTAAGTGATTCGTAACCATACTTGCTGAGAGTAGAAATACATTCATTTTCGTTATATTGAACGTTATTTTCCTTTAATGATTTGTTTAATAAATAGGTAACCCGTAACCATATCGTAACAGATTTCTTTACAATTACCATAATAATGACAAAAGTCATTTGGAGGTCGATAAAAAAAGGTGGTAGGATGGAAAGTTATATTGGTAAGTTGATGAATTTGCATGGCATCCGCAGAAGTCACGTGATGAGTATTTGCGGAAGTAAGATTCTGTTGCGGAGAGACAGTAAAGTTGTTGTAGTTATTGGAGTCCGGATAAGTAGCGTTGAACGGGGTGGTTGGTTGTTTTGATTCATTCTCTTATACACATCTAGATGTGTATAAGAGACAGACTGTACACTGTGGAGAAACACACTATTAAAAAATCTTACTTCACAAAATGGTTTTTTTAATTGAATGAAAAGCTTTAAGTTAAAAGCTTTAAAGTTAAAGGCTTTAAGTTGAAAAAAAAAAGATTTCTCTTGCAGTCTTTTATATAAATTTTTGAATATTTGCCGATCTCACACTACTTTTAATCAATGGGTTGTGCTGTAATGAGCTTTGAAGGATAGCCACCGTCGCAAATAGGATGAAATTACCTTGTTTTTATATGCGTACTTTTTGAATTATACAATTGGCGAATACGTCTTTTATAAAAAATATCTGCGTTACCGAATTATGAACGGAATTATAAATCACATATCGCATTTAATAATAATAATTCTGATCAAATTATGACTTTGTTACATATTATGCATTGAAGTTTATGTATCACACATCTTTTGTATAGTGAAGAGTTAATATGTAGACGTGAAGATAAATACGTTGGATGCTCTTTAATATATTTGATCAAATGTAACACAGATCACGTAATAATGGATAGAAAAGGGCAAGTTAATATTTAATTATACTATATAAATAATCATTATTTGTTTAATTTATTTATATTACTTTATTGCAAAAAGCATATAAATAAAATAATTCGTATAATCTATGAGTACTCCCCATTCGTGGGGTTACCTTAGGCCACACAAATTCGAATTTTCGGTTCACTTCACCCGGCCGGGTCACTTTTTCAAATTTCAATAGAAAAAAGTTTATATATAAAAAGTTTATCACGTGATCAGGACGCAATTTTATTGGCGGGTAAGTTTATCACGCGGCTGAGAACTTCTAGAGCGAAAATAAATTCCTCCCTTTTAAAAGTCAACCAATCAAATGTCACGATTTTATATATAAACTTTTTTTACTAATAAACAATAAACCCCGGGTCCCCGGGTCGATTTTAAATTTCAATGTTACGTGAACCGAAAAATTGAATTTGTGTGGCCTTATCAGAAAACGCTTTAACAGGCTATCAGTAAATGTTCGTTCTATGACCAAATTTCTGCATAGTTTTGTTAACAAATAGATGCTAACTTTATTAAAATTAACTATCTCTAAACTGTTTAGTATTCCATAGAAATTCTTTTACAATATATTGTCAGATTCAAAAGAAATGCTTCTTTTTAAATTTGATACTTGTAAGAAGACCATAAAATTATATTCAGTAGATTTGAAAAATAATTAAATAGTCTAATTTAGAAATATATAAATAATAAATTTCTTTGTTCATACTATTTGAGTAGGTGGATTTATCTGGAATTCCTTGGTTACACAATACATTAAACTTTATTAAGCTTTTTTTTACATCTAAATTTCTTATTTATTATCCAGTTGTAATAATATTTCTTTTTTTATTTTTTTTTTAAAAAAAAAGTTCACCTAAACACTTCTAAAATCAACACGTAATGTATTCATTGATGAAAAAAAAAAAAAGATTTCATAAATGTTTTGTACAGATTGTAAATACTATTTCTATTACAAATTAAAATATTAAAAAAAAAAATTATAACTAATTAAGTAACAAGGTAAATTGTGCAATTTAATTTCGAAAATCTTTTAGCTGTTAGACGTTACGAATGTATAAGCATCATGTGATTAGTCATCTGATTGGTCCCAGATTTTTTATGGATATGTTTAACTATTAAATGTTACCCACTTTAAATATTAACGTTGCTTGTATTGGCACGAAATGATTTATAAAAATATATTTGATTTATCTAACGAAAACGTATTTATACTACGCACTGAAAGTGTATTATTTAAATTACGAACTCAGTTTATTAAAACAATAATAACAAAACATATCACTATCTTTTACCCTCTCCATTTCCAGTACATTTATCACATACCTTCCTTTAATAACTTTAATAATGATAATATCAATACTATTACTAAGCGTTCATATTTGCTTTAACTGAATTAGTAGCTATTGAAGATGATAAGGATTTAGCTCTTGAAAGTGATGTTGATAGATTTTTAACTAAATCTGTTAGTCAAAAAATATTGAAAATAGTATTAAAAAAATTGTTAGAAAAAAATGAAACAATCTAATAAAAATAGCAGTGTTGGAAATAATAATAGTAATAATATTAATAATAGTAATAATAGTAGTAATAGTAGTAATAGTAGTAATGGTGGAAGTACATAATAATACGCTCAAATTTATTATTTTACATTTTTTATATTTTACATTTCATACATAATATTAAAAATTATTTTAAAAAAAATTATTGAATTTATTTATTTATTTATTTTATTTTCTAGTTGTACGATAGATATAATATTTTTTAATTTCTTCCCATTCTTTTTTTGTATTAAAAAAAAAGTTCATCCAAGAATTATATTATATATTATGACAAACATTAATCGCGCATTGTACTTATTTTTATTCATTAAACCTTTAAAAAATAAGAAAGAAGGATTTTTTTTATAAAATTTACAAGAGATTGGTGAATATTTATTCTAAAATAATTATTTGTAAAAAAAATTATATCAAAGTTAGATATTTTAACTAGAGGTTGGAACCGGTCCAAAAAGTCTTAACCGGTTAATAACCGGTTAACCAAACCTTTAACCGGTTAATTAACCGGTTAAAACTCAATCCTAGTCAGAATTAAAATTCGGCCAGGATTAGCATCAAATATATTTTTAATCCCGGCCAAAATTAGGCCAGACCAAAAC